ATACCCCCTCCACCAACCCCCCCGAGCATCACCCCCCCTACCCCCTCCCCCTCCCCCTATATTACCGCCGGACCCGATGCTGCACACTCTTGCGTCGGGGCATTACAAGACCACAAGTATACTCCTTATGATACGGGGAAAAAAAACAACAATCCATAAGGTCGGAATTCCCGTTGACGGATTGGGTTTTCCTCGCCCTTAGGGAGCGTCGGGAATCCTTCTCGCCGTCCGGTACCTCGGCTTCTCTCTGTCCTTTCCTTGTTTCTTCGTCTTGTTATTCGTCTTTCTCCCTATCCATCTATCTGTTCATCTCTCTTTCTGGCTATCTATCTGTTAACACACACACACATTTAAACAAATGGGTTTATCTCTCTCTCTCTCTCTCTCTCTCTCTCTCTCTCTCTCTCTCTCTCTCTCTCTCTCTATATATATATATATATATATATATATATATACATACGCACACATATAAATACATTTACATTTACCACCCATCTTCCCCCCATCTCCCTTTTCTCCCCCATTCCTCACTCCTTACTCTCATCATCTCTCTCCCACTCCCCCCCCTCTCCCCCCTCTCTCTTTCCTCTCCACTTCTCCCCCATCCCTTCCTCTCTCCCTCTTCCCCCCCAACTCTCCCTATCCCTTCCTTCTTCCCTCATCCCATCTCTCTTTTCCCTATCTCTCCCTCCCTCTCCCTTTCCCCCCCACCTCTCCCCCTTCTCTCCCTCCCTATCACTTTCCTTCCCCGCCTGTCCTCCTTTCTCTCCCTTTCCTCCCCCACCTCTCTCCCCCCTCTCCCTTTCCTCCCCCCTTCTCTCTCCCTTCTCTCCCTCCCTATCACTTTCCTTCCCCTTCTCTCCCTCTCCCTCTCCCTCCCTCTCCCCTTCTCTCCCCCCTTCTCTCCCTCTCCCTCCCTTTCCTCCCCCACCTCTCCCCCCCTTCTCTCCCTCTCCCTCCCTCTCCTCCCCCACCTCTCCCTCCCTCTCCCCTACGGTCACTCGTAGGACTCCCCCGCCCCCCTTAGCTGGCTCCATTGGCGCTACATACATCCGTCCATTTATATTTTAGTGTGGAGTTATGGCGACCGCTGGCTTATCTGGACTCACTCTCTCAGTCTACTTGTATTTCCAGCGTGTGTGTGTGTGTGTGTGTGTGTGTGTGTGTGTGTGTGTGTGTGTGTGTGTGTGTGTGTGTGTGTGTGTGTGTGTGTGTGTTTCATTCATTCGTATAGTAATTTGCATATATTCATCTGTGCAGATCAAAGAGAAATGTACTATTATCAATCAGTCTTTCCACTACAATTGCTTTAAATTCTTCTTCTCTACCTTTCACCCTTTCTTCACAAAAAAAAAGAAAAAAAACAAAACGAGGGAAAGAAAAAAGAAAAAAAAAATCCTTTAAAAATCCCAGGTTTGACCCCCCCCCCCTAACACATTCCCCTCTCTATGCAGTCTCATATTTTTTTCTCTCTCTATCCTTTTCACAATCTAAAATTTCCTTTCTCGATCTTATTTCTCATTTTTCTCAGTCCCTCGTTATTACTCGTTTCCTTATTCCTTTTCATCTTTCATCTTTAAATTCTTCCCCTTATTTTCCTTTCATTTCTTCAAACGTCATTTCCCCATTTCTATAATTTACTATCCTTTCTCTAAATCTTACTTTTCTTCCCTTCACCATTAACATGTCTTTTCTTCGTTTTTAATCTTACCTTCTTTATTACTTCCCGTTTTCTTCGAAAATTCATTTTCACATTTCTTCTTCCCTTTCTATCAATCTTCTCTCTATGTCTCGTCGTTTTCCTTCTTTCTCCATCTCACTATCTTCGTCTCTTCTCTTCTCACTATTTATCTTTTCTCGCTATCTCCTTCTCCTCCTCCTCCTCCTTCTTCTTCTTCTTCTTCTTCTTCTTCTTCTTCTTCTTCTTCTTCTTCTTCTTCTTCTTCTTCTTCTCTTCTTCCTTCTCTTCTTCTTCTCTTCTCTTCTCCTTCTCCTCCTCCTCCTCCTACTCCTCCTCTTCCTTCTTCTGATCCCCCTCCTTCCTCTGTATTTCTTCTTCACCTTTCATTCCAATTTCCAATTCCTTTCTGAATTTTAAACTTCTCTTCTCATTTATCATCCATCTCATCCATCATTCTATTTTTATTTCTGCACATTCATCAGTCTCAATTATAATTACTTAATCATTTCATTTTTTAAAGATCGCTCATTTTCTCTTCTCCTTTCGTCATCTATTTTTTTCTCCTTCTTCTCCGCGCCCTTAAGAGATGACTCATGCAAGCTCCAGACATTTTTTAATATGATTATTTTTTCTTGCTTTTTTTCTCTTTTCTTTCATATGAACGTCATCCATTACCTTCTAATCCCTTCCTTCCCCTCCCCCCCTTCCCTATTTCTTTCCCCTCCCTTTCTCTTCCCCCCTTCCTCTTCCCTTCCCTCTCTTCCATTCCATCCCTCTTTCCCCTTCTCGTGTCCTCTCCCTTTCTCCCCCTCCCCCCCTCCCTCTTTCTACTAGCCTTCACCCCCCTTCTCCCTCCCTCCTTCCTTCCCCCTCTCTCCCCTCCCTCTTTCTCTTGGCTCCCTACCCCCCTCCTCTTAAGCCCCCCTCCCTCCCTCCCTCCCTCCTTCTTTCCTCCCTCTCTCCTTCCTTTCTTTCTCCCTCCCTCCTTCCCTCCCTTCTTCCCTCCCCTCTCCCTCTCTCTTTCTCCATCCAACCCTCTTACCACCCCTCTATCCCTCCATCCCCCCCCCCCCTCCAAT